AAGAAGAAGGGGTCAATGTAGTCTCCAAAGCACCTGAAGGCAGGACGAGAAACAATGGATGGACACTAGTCAAGGAGAGAACCAGTCTAGAAATTTCCTTATAGTTGGAACGATTAATCAATGGAACAACCTGCCTCCATAAGTTGTGGGTGCTCCAACACTGGAGGATTTCAAGAAGAGATTAGACAACCTTTTGTTTAGAATAGAATAGGATCTCCTGCTTGTGTAGAGGGTTGGACTAGAAGATCTCCAAGGTCCCTTCCAGCTCTGTTATTCTGTTATTCAAAATTCTCCAGCTAGCATGCTGGCTGGGGAATTTTTGGAATTGAAGTCCACAGGTCTTAAAGTTGCCGAGGCTGGACATCCCATACCCTGATATACAGTATAGAAATATTTTGTAAAAAACTTCACTGTTTTTCTGTGTTAATTGGTCTGTGGCCTGGGATGTTAGAAATCAGTATAATTTGATTTCAATGTATACTCAGAAACCAGAATACAGGTAGTCCTCAACTTACGACCACAACTGAACCCGAAATTTATGTTGCTAAACAAGACAGTTGTTACGTGAATTTTGCCCCATTTTCAGACGCCTGGCAATTGACTCACATTTATGACGGTTGCAGTGTCCCGGGGTCATGTGATCCCCTTTTGCGAACTTCTGACGACCAAACTCAACGGGGAAACCAGATTCTCTTAACAGTTGCCGTGACTGACTTCATACCTGTGGCAAGAAAAGTCATAAAATGGGGCAAAATTCACTTAAGAACGGTCTCGCTTAGCACGGGAAAATTGTGGGCTCCATTGTGGTCGTAAGTCAAGGACTACCTGTTACACTTTTTTGACATTCATACTGGAAGTGGGGAATATGAGTTGCTCAGGGACCTTTTGAACAGATGGGACAGGAAAGAGCAAGGAAGGAAGGAAGGAAAGCAGTAGATTCTAGCAACCATTTATTCTTGCAATTCTTTTTTAAAGGTACTGCCATCAAAATTTCATTTCTTTGCACTTGTATCCTAGGAGCCTCTATTAGAGAATATGCTGTCTTGCTTGCTTGGGCTGCCTGGCAAGCAAATATTTTCTTTGCTGCCAAAAAGGCCAACACAGTGTTGGGCTGCATTAACAGAGGGATAGAATCAAGATCACGTGAAATATTAATACCACTTTACAATGCCTTGGTAAGGCCACACTTGGAATACTGCATCCAGTTTTGGTCACCACGATGTAAAAAAGATATTGAGACTCTAGAAAGAGTGCAGAGAAGAGCAACAAAGATGATCAGGGGACTGGAGGCTAAAACATATAAGGAACGGTTGCTGGAATTGGGTATGTCTAGTTTAATGAAGAGAAGGACGAGGAGGGACATGATAGCAGTGTTCCAATATCTCAGGGGCTGCCCCAAAGAAGAGGGAGTTAAGCTATTCTCCAAAGCGCCTGAAGGCAGGACAAGAAGCAACGGATGGAAACTAGTCAAGGAGAAAAGCAACCTGGAACTAAGGAGAAACTTCCTGACAGTGAGAACAATTAACCAGTGGAACAACCTGCCTCCAGAAGTGGTGAATGCTCCAACACTGGAAGTTTTTAAGAAGAGACTGGACAGCCATTTGTCCGAAATGGTATAGGGTTTCCTGCCTGAGCAGGGGGTTGAACTAGATGACCTTCAAGGTCCCTTCCAACTTTATTATTATTATTATTATTATTATTATTATTATTATTATTATTATTATTATTATTACTATTATTAGCTTTTAAATATCCCCCTTCTTCTTCTTCTTCTTCTTCTTCTTCTTCTTCTTCTTCTTCTTCTTCTTCTTCTTCTTCTTCTTCTTCTTCTTCTTCTTCTTCTTCTTCTTCTTCTTCTTCTTCTTCTTCTTCTTC